TTGTGCATGATTTTGTAGTGTTGTTCAGTTCTAATTTATTGGTTATTATTCTTTTTTTCACCACGTATGAAAGACAAACATTCGGCCTAGTATTAAATAAATAAAACATAAAAATAAAATTCATTTATTTATACAAAAATTATTCTTGCAATAATTTTTAGTGGATAATAATTGTTTATTTCTCCAAATTACTACAAAATTATAATTGCACCAACTATTTCAAAACTAAAATTGTTGTTTCAAATATATCCAAATTCCATTAAAATTAGCTGTTACAAATTACTCAGAAATACCAAATCATATAGTTATTTGTTTTCTTATCTCACAATAATAAATGATTAATTATTTTTACAAAGATTTTAAAAAAAGTGTTTTTTTTTCCTATTATCTAACCTATTATTTTTCTATTTATTTTAAAATTTATATCTTGCAAGCCTGTATTTAAAAGAACACAAATAAATTCATTCATAGATGTAACATATTTTCCTTATTTTCCAGATATTTTACTGGATTATAAAATGAACTTAAATGCCTTTAATCTAATGAACAATACAAATGTTAGTAAGTATATGATTTTATGCCTGCAAACTGTACTTGTTTATTTTTTTTAATATTTTTAAATTTTTCCATTTAGTGTTTTTACTCTTTTTAGAATTATCTAGTTATAGTTCACTTTGTTTTTAATAATTTCACATTTATTTTGAGTATTCCATCTTTTAATTTATGAAAGTTTTATAAAAGCGGTATGTTTTGAGTTTTGGTCCTGTAAAGTGCCCTTTTTTTAATATTGGGTCCTGTAAAGTACCCTTTTTCATTTTGGTTCCTTTTCTATCCCTTTTTATAGATATTGGTCCTGTAAAGTATCCTCTTTCATTTTGGTTTCTTTTCTATCCCTTTTTATAGATATTGGTCCTGTAAAGTACCCTTTTTCATTTTGGTTCCTTTTCTATCCTTTGTTTTTAACATTTGGTCCCTGAAGACCCTATTTTTTTTTAAAGAAATTTGTATCAAATGACATGCTGATGCTGGTGCTCATTTTCTATTTCGTTTCCTTTTTCTTTTTTTTGTCAAACATAGAATGAGGGATTTCTTCCACTTTTTTTTTTCCAATTTAGATGGGTTGGCGTTGATTGAGGGAATTTTTGCTAAACTAGTTTCTAGTGCAATTTGGTATTAATCTAACACAAAATTGTACAAAAATACATTCTAACTTTTTCTTTTTGGCGGTAAAATTTTACATGATTAAATCATAGTAGCATTATCAAATTCTAACTCACCCTATAAAAATATCTTTACAATGAGTTGCGGTGGCCCAAATGTTAATTCATTATAGTTTTATAAAGATGACCAGTCTTCTAGCTGTATGAAAGATGTTGTTGATTGACATCGGTTTTTACAGTTTACAAAAAGTTTATAGTAATGAAACTAAATTTTAATTAGTAATATAACTTAATTTTTATGTGCCTTTTTATGTTTATTTTTGCAAAAATTTGAATCGTTTTAATACAAAAGCATGATTTTCAGCCTTAATTATCAATTTTTTGAAGATCTTAATTAGTTGCAAGTCTGTGTTCATTCATTACTTTTATTTAGGTATATCTCTGTTGGAACATCTGATATCACTCATAGTGTGTAGCTTTTTTAAAAAGTGCTTAAAAGTGCTTATTTTTGATTTTCATTTTTTAAAACCTCTTGAGAGTGTTTTTTTCTTTGGGCGTTTTTAAAAAGTGCCTAATTTTCCCTTTTCGAAAATGAGATTTTTTTTCTTTACCATGTCGATTTTCACCACAAATTACGCAAAAGCGTGCTTTTCACATTGTTCTATGCAACGGTTTCACAATTCATTCAATCACAATCTATTTCGGCGCACCGTCGGTCCCTAGCTTAGGAAAGCGCCAATCATTTAACATGTTTGATGAAATACTTGCGAGTCTGCACGTGTGTCTACTGAACTGGGTTCGGTGAGATTGCACTCTCATGTACTACTGAGCTGCATTTTGCAAGATATTCTCAATTCCAGGCTTCATTTTCCACCCTCTGATATCGGTCCGAAAAATCTCTTGATCATTTTATAATGGCTAATATAAGTTCTTTGTCAGAAACTAGTTATTTTATCATGATCATGCAAAGTCTTTGAAAATTATTTTGCATTTTGTTAGTGTATATAGTACTTAAAANTTTCGTTCCAGGCGATGCATCAGAAATCTGATTTAAGCCGTCGAGTAAAGAAGACGAACGATATAGCGATATACAATATAGCTATACTAGAAATGCAAGGATCTCTTACGTTCCGATGCCAACTTGCACTGGGGAAGACGATCGTTATATTGAAACGGCCTTGATGGATGAGTGGTAGAATTAGAATCAGTTTTGAGAACATATATCGTGATCTCACATGTTCGTTTCCGCACCTCTTAGTTTTTTTTCCTTCTTTGATATCGTTTCCTGTAGATTATTTTCAGTAGTGGGACTGATCGCCGTCGTTACCTTGTTCTGAACGTAATCTATTAATGAAAAGAATATATAAAGAAGTGTTTCTTAATTATTTAGGTAAATTTTTTTATTTTTAAATGTGAAAATTAATTTTGATTTTATATGTTTAAGTGTTATTTTACATTATTGAATTTATTACAAACGGAAATCTAATTTAAGGTGCCCATAAAGAATTGAATTAAAAAGTAATTAAATTTGTTAGGCTATTTTTTACTTTATTTTAATTTATTAGAAACTTTTTGGATAAAATAATAATTTAATGGTTTTTTATTACTGATTTTAAATTTATTAACCTTTAGTTGTTTTCATTTTTATAAATAAAATTATAACAAAACTTATTTTTCCTCTTTTGGATTTGGACATAAGTCAATCAACTTTGTTTATTCAAAAAAATTAGTAATGTTTGCGATTGCGACTTCTTTTTTTAAAATCATTTGGCACTTTGTTTTATTAAAGAGTATAATCGTGTTTTTTTAATCTTCTTTCAATATTGTCAGTTGAATATATTATGGAATATCATAATTCTTTTGTTTTTATTTTTAAGAAATTAAACCTTACTTTGTTTTTTCATTCAGAATTCGATAATTGTTCAATTTGACTTCATTATTTATATGAAATATTAATGATAAAAAATAGTGTTGTTTTAAAAGTGTTTTTATTTGTTTAATTTATTTAGCACTTTGTTTTAAGCATACAAATAATTTTTAACGAACTTATTTTTTAAATTTTCTTTCTATATTGTTAGGTAAATATATTGATAAATTTCAATTTTATTTATTTTTTTATTATTTATTTTTAAACTAAGAAATCTCTCGTTATTTGCGCAATCATTTTTAGAAAATAAAACATTAATATCTTTCTTAAGCAAAACATATACATCAAATTCATAAATTGATTTAAATCAATCTGAGTATGAAGTTTTGATAGAAATCCGACTTTCTGCGCCTTACAAGTGAATGAATTTCAAAAATACTATATCGTGATACATTGCTATATCGCGATGCAAAACTGACGATGCATCACAATATAAAATTTCTTATATCGCACAGTCCTAATCACGATCATGCAAAGTCTTTGAAAATTATTATGCATTTTGTTAGTGTATATAGTACTTAAAGATCTATTTTAAGTGCTTGAAAGTACTTAAAAGGTGCTTATTTTTTGTTGATAGATTTGGCTACGCACCCTGTCACTATATACATAACTGCCGATTTTTACGCAGTTTCTATAAAATTTTAAATGCATTTGAATTTGTAGTAAAGTTTATGCTTTTTATTACTTTCTTGGATTTTTAAATTTTATTTAAAATGATTTGGACCACCACTACATATTAAAGGATTAATATTTATAAAAGTGGATGAAAATTAATACAATGTTATTTTTGAACTCTGAGCCAAATAAAACAGATATTTCTGCTGATAGTAGTAATGAAATTTTTGTTTTAGTACAACTGGAGAAAATCATCCTCAAGTTGGCAGGGACTATGTACATGCTTTTCTTATAAAAAAAAAACAGCTTTTAAATAAACTTGTCATTTTTTTTCTAAAAAAGTTCCTCTTATTTAAAAAAATTGAGCCGTGATGGCTCAGAGGATAGAGCTTTCGCTTTCCAATTAAGTGAACCGGGTTCAAATCCCAGCGATGGCTCGTCGATAGAAATACCGCACCTGGCCTGCACAGTGCTGATGTAAAATATCCTCAGTGGTAGATGGATCATGGGAGAGAGTTTCCTTGCCGTCAGACTAACAGTGAAAGGTTTTTGTGGTTTTGTGGTCTCTCCATATAACGCAAATACGAGTTAGTTCCATAAAAAAGTCCTTCACGAAGGCAAAATTTCTCCCAATACTTGATTCAGAGTTTCCTTGTCTTCTGGATCAGGTCCAAAATTGCAAGGCTACGGAGTGGAACATTAGTTGTTGTAAACCGAAAAATTTGGGTCGGCTGTTCACCGACAGTTATATATATATAAAGAAAAATATTTTTGGTTCCTAAGTCACTTTTTTAAAGTTCCAAGCTACTAAACACTCTATAAAAGCTACCATTTAAAAAAGAAACAACTTTTTTATTACCTATTAACTAAATTAACATTTTAATTTTACATTTCAAAATTGTTACTGCATGCAAGTATATATCGATTGAGCTGTATATGTATTGTGCCAACTTTATTACTTTTTAAACTTAAGAAATAAACTAATTTTTAGTTAATCTGTTTCAGGTTTCTGATGCTGATATTGTCGGTTCATTTTTGAATGTTCAAAGAGACATGCAAGACTGTTCCGTCGAAAGAAGAAAAGTTATGGAACTTCAGAGTAAGTTATTATTATTATTGTTTTAGCTGAATGTAATTTAAAAATAATCTCTGTTTGTAACAATTAAATATAAAGGAATTGAGGAAGTTTTAAAAAAAGATGTGTTTGATCATATTCAAACAGAGTTTTATAAATTTTTTACAGGGTGGTCACCCACCTGGAAAACCTTGAAAACCTGGTATTATCAGGGAATTTTTTTATACTGGAAAAAACGAGAAAAAATCAGGGAAATTTGGATAAAAACCTGGAAAAATCAGGGAATTTAAAGAAAAGCTGGAATTTTTTTTCTTAGATATTTTTTTAATTTCACTAATTTAAATTATTTACTAATTTTCTTAATTTAAATTATTTCATCCATTATACCCACATTTTTTAGACGGAAATGTGTCTCCAAACAGTTCAAATGTTATCAACTTAGCTATACTTTGCTTGCATCAAATTTTACTCTATTATAACCCTGTTAAACTAGAATACCACATAAAATTCTCCCTTAGTTGCTAAA